ATAGGGACGGTGGGAGTGAGATGCAAGAAGGAAGTGTTATGGGGATATAAGGGTATGTATAGCTGATTCACTCTTTTATACAGCAGAAACTAACACAACATTGTGAAGCAATTATACTCCAGTAAAGATGTTAACAAAAAAGTCAATATAATTTTAAACAAAGTTTTATCACATTCTGGTGCTTTTCAAAAACTGTTAACTTTTCTTGAGCACATTATTTTTGTATATATACACTAGAATCCCTTTTCATACAATAGGAGTTTACAAATCTAATATCTTTTTTTTCCTTCTGTATCCTCATTAAACCTATGAATAATATTTTGTGAGTAAATTAATTCTGCCATGCACTTTAATGTGTTTTGTGGGCTATTGCCAACTAATGTGTCTGAGACTTTCAAAACATAGTCTTGCTTTGCAGTAGCTGTTAAGAGACTCCAACAAGAGCACACAAGGAAGGTTCTGATGTTTCTGAAGAATGCTTGGAACACAGTTGTAAATGTAGTAAATAGAGACAGAATAACATAAAACAAATTGGTTGTGTTTAAAACATTTCTTTGTCTCCAGTTATTTAAAAAGCTGATATTTCTTGAAATAAAAAGATCCAAGAAATCAGAGGTACACGCAACTGTAACGTAACGTCACTGGCAAATACTATTCAGTAAACCTGGATTAACCTTTCATAATTAGCACTTCTCAGCCCAAGAAATCCCTAATATTCCACCCTAATTCCATTGTAACAAAATCCCTATAAGGTAAGTCATAAAAGCAACACTAACCCCTTCCAAAGCAGAGAAACAAAAATGTAGCACTATTTTCTACCGTGAAAGAAAGTTCTGGGATGGCCATTTACATTATAGGATCTCAGATTTCAGTAAGGATTAAAGGCTGTATATTTTAAACAAGAGACATATAGAAATATCATGAAGATATTAGGACCCCTTCCCTACTTCTCCCATACTCCATATACCACATCTTAACCTAGCCAGCATAGAAAAATATAAGGATTTTCTTTGGACCTCAGAAAGTCTACCTTAAATTACCCAAGATTCAAAAAGCTCCACTTGTCACAGTAGTCATAAAATGCAGGCAGATTATCTGGGCCCCTTTATAAGTTTATTTCTTTGTGTACATATCTGAGGAAAAGAGGGGAAAGAAGTGCCTTGTTTGGATTGCAAAGTAAATTTAATTTTTCCAAATCATATTCACATCCATGTATATAAGTAAATGAACCATTTAGCTATTGCTATATAGCAAACCACCCAAAACTGAATGGCTTAAACCACAATTCTGCATGTAGGCAATTTAGGGCGAGATCATCTTGGTGGTCTCAGCTGGCTCCCTTTTGGCGTCTGTAATCAGCTTCATGCCAGCTTTACTGATCTTAGCTGGGCTTTCTCATATGTCTAGGACCTCAGCTAGGATGAATCCACTGACTCAGCTTTGTTCTATGTGGTTTTAATCCTCCAGCATAGGAGTTGGCAAAACTACAGCTCACTGCCTGTCTTTATATATAAGGTTTCACTGGAATAGAGCCATACCCATTTGTTTATTTATTGCCTATGTTTGCTTTCACAATAAAACAGGGAAGTTGAGTAGTTGTGACAGGAACCATATGGCCTTCAAAGCCTAAAACCTTTACTATCTGGCCCTTTACATAAAATGTTTGCTTGGGGCTTCCCTGGTGGCGCAGTGGTTAAGAGTCCGCCTGCCGATGCAGGGGACACGGGTTCGTGCCCCGTTCCGGAAGGATCCCACATGCCGCGGAGCCGCTGAGCCTGCGCATCCGGAACCTGTGCTCCGCAACGGGAGAGGCCACAACAGTGAGAGGCCCACATACCGCAAAAAAAAAAAAAAAGTTTGCTGACCCCTGCTCTAGCAGGGCTCATTTACATGACAATGTCAGAGATCCAAGCAAAAGAGTGGAAACTCACAAGGTCTCTTGGGGCCTAGATTTGAAACCACCACAGCGTCACTTCTGCCATGTTCTGTTGGCCAAAGCAGGTTAGAAGTCCAGCCCAGATCCAAGAAAAGGGGAAATAGAATCCATGTCTAGATGGAGAAGTAAAAAGTCACATTTCAAAGGGCATGGGTTCAGGGAGCAGTGAAGGACTCTGGTCATATTTATAACCTGCCTCACTAGATCACATAACAATTGCCTTCAGACTAAAAGAATTGTGATGGAATAGGTGGGTATATTTATAATATTTCATTAGGAAAGCCCATAAGAATCATGTGAGTCACTGTTCATCAAATACCTGACCTGTAGATTTTTGTCAAAAGGATGTATCCATAATTATTTTGGTAGAGATTATCTTTAGCACAAAGTGAGAGAGTGGCATGGACATATATACACTACCAAATGTAAAATAGATAGCTAGTGGGAAGCAGCCGCATAGCACATGGAGATCAGCTCGGTGCTTTGTGACCACCTAGAGGGGTGGGATAGGGAGGGTGGGAGGGAGGGAGACGTAAGAGGGAAGAGATATGGGAACATATGTATATGTATAACTGATTCACTTTGTTATAAAGCAGAAACTAACACACCACTGTAAAGCAATTATACTCCAATAAAGATGTTACAGAAAACAAAAACAAACAAACAAAAAAAAACCTAGGCCCTGGAAGAGTCAGATAGGAGGCTGATTGTTCATTATACAACCTTAGGAGATAGTTATTGACTTTGATTCCTGATCCTGAAGGGAAATAAGATAAAGCTCAATTAAAATTACTGAACTCATTTAGGTGACTAGGTTATGGAAACAAATAGACCCAAGATGTAGGATGATTCCAATGCAATAAAAGTTTTCCTAGTAAATAGTCCACACAATGATTCAGGGACACAGACTTCTCTCACCTATGGGCCTGCCAGTCCTAAGGCAGGTCTTCATCTTACTAGCAGAAAAGAAAAAAAGAAGGTGGAGGAGGCTCACATCTTTCCTGAAAGTCTTGGCTCAAAAGTAGTACACAGCACTTCTGCTCATATTCTGTTGGTGAGAACTCGTCAGTTGGCTACACCTAACTGCAAGGGATAATGGAATTTGTAAGTCTAACTCTATATCTAGAAAGAAGAAAGAAATGGATTTTGATGAACAGTTTGGAGTCTGTGCCATAGTCTACCTTCTGGTCATCAGGTGTTCATTTGCACCTTTCTTTTCACATTTATAGAACACATTACCTTCACAAGGGAGACCGCCCAAAGTCTCCTCCAGTTACTGCTTCTAGCTCAAATCCAGGATCCCTGGATGATGTTTAGTCTTATCTGTAAAGTCAGGATGTAGCCCTTTAAGGTCTGAAATGCCCAACCCCTGCACACACACGGATAAAATATACAATGATAAAACTAGGCCAGGATAAATGCCATAAAACTGCCGCTCAGAAAACAGATGAATAGGAAATACACAACATTCACAGGTTAGTTGCAACGATGAATTCATGCTGGGAAGGTATTTTAATGAAGGAAGTTCCACTATTAGACACCAGATCTCCATTCTAAGAGGAACCCTGTTTTCTGTTCTTCTTTAAGAGTTTCTTCTTGGTCCATTATCATCCATGACCACACCTGAGTCAGCCCATTGTAGAACATTACCTTTCTTGTGGGTTATGCAGTATTCACAGCCTGCTTCTAGCTCATATGAGTTTGGGGGCCCAAAATTATTTTAAGCCTTAAATAGTCAAAGGATTTTAACACAAGGATCAAAATTTATTTGGCAATACAGTTGGTCAAAATTTTAGTAGAATTCTGATCAATTTACATACAATAAGTTTCATGGGCCATACCTAAAATTACTTCTTAGGCACAGTGTTCAAGACTTGTTTACTTCTTTGCGAAAACCTATGAAGACAAGAATTCTATCTTAATCCATCACTGTATACTAGAATCCAGCATTTACTAATTCCCTGTAGGAACACAAAGTAGGAACATTTGTTCAATATAAAAAGTGCCTAACATAATACCTACAATATAATTAGTGTTCATCCAATGGTAGCTGTTGAAGCTCATTGGAATTGGAGATAGCAAACCAGGGGCTTAATTCTAGCTCTACTTCTACATAGCTGGGTAAGATCATGCAAGTTAGTTTCCTCATATTCTAAATCTTTCTCACATTATTGTTGTTGCTTTGCACTTTTATAATTCACCTCCAATCCTTGTTTTTTTTGCACTTTTATAATTCACCTCCAATCCTTGTTTTTTTTGCACTTTTATGATTCACTACCAACAAGTGATGAGGAAAGGACTAATCTTGAGATCAAAATACCATGAGAAGCCCATAGGCATATCTTTAGGAAAGTATTCAAACTACAGGTGCTATAAGGATAATAGGATTTGTTACAAGAATCAGTTGTCATCCAACCCAGCATGATCCATTAAACACAGGCTTCATCTAATGCCATGAGATTTGAGTGGGGCCTATTATAGGTGGTTAATTGTTTGAGAACCCTGTGATGGTTTATGTAGCTTTGGAAATGCATCAGTGAACACATATTTTTTGAAATTTCGTTGTTTGTAATGAAATTCATAATATGTCTAATATCACAAAATAGCCAAGGAGAAGCTGGAGCTGTGCACTGTGTACAATAAAACTTCTCTTTAAAATTTGGTAAGTGACTTTAGGTCAGTGATTCCAACCCTGGCTGCACATTAAAGTCATTTGGAGAGGTTTTTATGAATACCAGTGCGTGAACCTCACTCCAGAGATTCTGATATAAATGCAATTTTAAAACCTCCCCAGTGATTCTGATGGATAACCACTGCTTTTAAAAGGGAAATATGTCATCATGAAGGACACCTTTTTTAGTGTCTGTTACTAGAGGCAAGAAAATATCCTGCCTATACTACAGCTTTTATACAGTGTTATTACTTGGACTAGTCATGGCCTTTTTAGTCATTTTTAGATGAAAAATTGTTTGTTTTGTGAGGAGGGATGGGACGAGCAGTAGGGGGTTGGCTTAGGGAGGCTCCATGATAGTCAACAAAGTAACACTTGCCCCTTCCTCTGCAGCACATCATGCTTGTGCAGCGTCAGATGTCTGTGATAGAAGAGGACTTGGAAGAATTCCAACTCGCTCTGAAACACTATGTGGAGAGCGCTTCCTCCCAAAGTGGCTGTTTGCGGTAAGTGCTCCTGTGCATGTGTCTTAGATGAAGGTGGGGTCTGGAGGACTGGTATTTGAGAATCTTCATCTAAAGTTATGCTGGTCATTCTAGCCCTCAGGGTGATGCATTTTGCAGAGTTAAACAGGCTATTTTCTCTTTTATCCTTGGACTCTGTGTGGATTTGAGCATTAGGAGCACCAAGGGAAGTCAAATAGACTGAAATTCCTCCTTTTGCATCCAGGCAGACTCACACTCTGATTTAAATCATCTCTGGTATATGAGGCCTCAACTCTAGTGCATCTAGCTCTGATTGCTACCTTGAGAGTGCGCCCTATGGCCTAATAACCACCATTTCAGCCATTCATTATGAAATTGCACCATCTCTGAAGTCTTGATGGCAGGACTTTGTCATTTAAAAAAAAAAAAAGTTATTTCCATGGCCACTCCAGCTCAGGCTTCTGTTATCTCAGGCTACTAAAATATACTAACTATACCTCATCTTCAGTTTCTCTACTCCAAGTAGTCCGAGAAACAACTACTACAATTTTAATTTCCCGGAAACAATTATCATAGAATTCTCTTACTCAGAAACCTGCAATAACTATCTAATGAGTAGCTTATCAAATGCCAGAAGTTTATCCTTACCCTACAATTATACTACCAACAGACCCAGAGATCCATAGCACTGCTATCATTTGTTCTCCCTCACCTGAACACTATGCCTCAACAGTGCCCAGCTGCATATTGCCTTTCCAGCATAATCTATTGTCTTACTGCTGTGCCTTCGATCTGGCCACTCTCCTTCCCAGAAGTGTGCACCCAGCTTCAGGTCTCTGCCAGACCATGCTCTACCTTAATGCCAAAGATCAAACTCACCTGCTCCTGGAAAACTGCCACAACCAAATCCACCCCTACCTTAGGAGCTTGTTTAAATTGTATTTCACAATACTCTTAGAACATTGGGAAAGCTTTTTAGCACATGTGTGCATGCATGTATGTGCACATAGAAACACATACTTTATGTCTCTTTGGTGTTCCTCCCAGTAATTACTAGTTATATTTTATTCGCACTCTGGCAGAATACTTCTGCAGCTAAGAAGTCTGGCTCTGGAATTAAACATGGGTTGTATTAACTTTGTGGGTTTGGGAAAGAGAAAAACAAATACCGTATGCTAACACATATATATGGAATCTAAAAAAAAAAAAAAGGTTCTGAAGAACGTAGGGGTGGGACAGGAATAAAGATGCAGACGTAGAGAATAGACTTGACACAGGGAAGGGGAAGGGGAAGTTGGGATGAAGTGAGAGAGTAGCATTGACATATATACACTACCAAATGTAAAATAGATAGCTAGTGGGATGCAGCCTCATAGCACAGGGAGATCAGCTCGGTGCTTGTGACCACCAGAGGGATGGGATAGGGAGGGTGGGAGGGAGATGCAAGAGGGAGGGGATATGTGGGTATATGTATACATATAGCTGATTCACTTTGTTATATAGCAGCAACTAACACAACGTTGTAAAGCAATTTTACTCCAACGAAGATGTTAAAAAAAAAGTTACTGAAAAACCCAAGCAGAGCAATTGTGTGACCCATGTATAACACACACACACACACACACACACATTTTTGATTACTCTTTTCGCATATTTTGTAATCATGAAGGCTTATTTAATCCCTGTGTTTGGCACGGGGAGGTACCAACTGAATATATGTGATGCACACAGTGTATTCTCAGAACCATGCATGACTTTGGAAAGTTGAGAATAGTTTCTGCTTCCAAGGATCTAGGAAACCAGTTGGGAAAATAGGATACTCATTCATGAACAATTAAAGCCATGTTCTTGGCCTAAATTTCACAGCTGTTAAGTAGAATAAAATGATTTCTGAAGTCACTCTCAGCTACCAAATTCTAGAATTTGTATGTATTCTGAACTCCATGTCAAGGATGTAGGGAAGATGAATGTGGAACTGCATTGTAAGAATCAATCCTGGGAGTTGTACTATGGCCAAAGAAACATCCTTAAGAACTCATGGTACCCTGTGGCACATTGAACCATTAATTTATCAGCATTTTTATAGAGACAAAATAAATGGGTGGCCGTAGTGTGGTGGAGAATTGTGGGAACTATCCCTCCTGTGTGCCCTTTACTCCAGTGATTAGGATCTGTGAGTTAAGGTAGGCCACCTGGGGAACAGAGGAAGCCAAGACGAAGTGTGTCCTGTTCCTGATGAGCCAAGCTACCTTAGGTAAGATGTTTAACCCCAATCGTTCCTGAGCTACATCATTTTTCCCCATTTCACTGACATTTTCCAGCTCCTGGAATGTTCACGGTGTCCTGGAGCTCAGGGCTGAAGCTCTAAGTGACCTTATCCAGAGACAGCTTAGCCAAAGAACTCTTGCTTTAGCCAGTGAGTTTTTAAGTGCCACAGGAAGTATGAATACATTGAGGAGGAAGACTGAGGGTGTTTAAGTTAGTACAGTCACAAAGCAAAAGCTCAGAGTTACATCATGTAATTTTAAGTTTGCAAATAATTGAAAGCTAATCATTCAAGCCCTAAGCCCTTTTAACAGAAATATTGCTGACTGAAGTTTCTAAAAATTTTATCATTAACCTTTTCTTGCTGTCTCAGTGTCATCACTGCATATGTATTATTATCTGTATTGTACAGTCTCAAATATCAATGTCCTTAAATGTCATTGCTGTGTATTGGTCAGTTTTGCCCTTAATTGAAAGCACCCAGTCTGTAGAACAATTTTGATTAGCATTTTCACCCATAGTCCTTTGAGACACAATCTGAACTGGTCTTTCAACTCTTACATCTGGCTCTTGACCAGATGGCCTACAGTCAGGAAGAAGGAGAAAGGAGCAACACCAACAAGCCATCCTCTCATGTCTGAACCTAAGGACAGAAAGTTTCCCAGAAGTCCTTGCTTCTCAGCATACTTCCCTTGGCATCTCATCGGCCCAACTCAAGTTACATGGCTATTCCTGGTTACAGGGGAGGTTAGAAAACAAATATTTAGCAGAAAGGAGATTGTGATGACTGTCTCAGCCCAGCACTGATTGGTACATTGGATATATTGCAAAATGAACAACGGCAGGGTTCGGTTAGACAGAGGGGAATAACAGTTGGGGAGGCAACAGACAGTATCTACCATATGATTCCCAGAGTGACTGTGAAGGTAAAATGACTTAATCCATGGGAAATGCTTAAACCAGGGCCTGGAACAGAGCAATACATGTTAGCAACCATCGCCAGTGTTATTAGTATGTATAATAATGTAATAATTGTTATCATCATTATTATTGGCTTGCTGCTCCTCATTGTTTTGAAAGATTTGTCTTTCTCCCTCATTTTCTTTTCTGTTCCTTTTAATTCTGTCATGTTTCTCAACTTTGATAGCATTAAGGCTTAGCTTTCACTCACCTAAGGAAAGTGCTACTTTGTTTTTCACTATTGAGCTAACAGCTAACACACACACACACACATATACACACATACAATATACCAATTACTGGGCAAAACATTCTACATGTAATGCTTTATTTAGTACTCAGTACTATTATTACCACCATTTAACAGGTGAGGAAACAGGTTAAGTAATGGGCCCAAGGTGACAAAGCTCTAATACATGGTGGATGAAGGTAAGCCTGTATGGCTATACTTCAAACCACTACCTTATCACACTGTGTTTATCTTCTTCAGTCCTTCAAAACTTGAGCATCAGGCTAAAATTTTGTGAATTTCTTGTGGCTAGTCTGGAAAATGGCAGGTTCAGATAGCAGGATAAGTGATTTTTATATGTAATAAGTAATACAAATGAATTAGTTTGTAGGAGGCAGTTCATAGTCATGGATTGAAATTTGACCATTACATTGTCAGATTACATTTGGGGATTACAGATCCTTTTCGACTATGATGAGAACTATGGATTCTCTTCCCAGGAAAAAGTAGATATGCACAGTAATTTTCAGCTCATTTCTAGGATTTCAAGGAACCCCCCCAAAAGCCCATCTATAAACTCCTGGGGTTAGAAAATCTCCAGTTTCAGTTTCTGTTCAATTCCTTTGATTATGTTATAAACCTTTCCCGAGAAAATCTGAAATTGAACTAAGAACAATACTTGCTACATCATATCTTAACTGAAGCAAGCTTGATCAATAGCTCTGTGAAAAACACCAAACTACAAGCCAAATAAGTATTACAATTTCTGTGTAGTTACCACCATCTGCTGGCCACACTTAGGTAAATCCTAAATTTACACTGAGCTTGGCTATTTTACCGTATGTTCGCTATTAAATCAATATTCTATTCTCCCAATTTTTCCCAATCTCTCAATTTATTGGGATTGAGATATACACACTACTTTATATAAAATAGATAATAAGGATCTACTGTGTAGCACAGGGAAGTCTACTCAATACTCTGAAATGACCTATATGGGAAAAGAATCATAAGAGTGGATATATGTCTATGTATAACTGATTCACTTTGCTGTAAACCCAAAACTAACACAACATTGTAAATCAACTATACTCCAATAAAAATTATTTTAAAAAAATTAAAAAAGAGTAGTTTATACAAACTACTATGTATAAAATAGATAAGCAACAAGGATGTATTGTATAGCACAAGGAATTATAACCATTAACTTGTAATAACATTTAATGGAGTATAATCTGCAAAACTACTGAATCACTATGCTGTATACCTGAAATATAATGTAAATCAACTATACTTCCATTTAAAAAAGCACCACACTGGGCTTCCCTGGTGGCGCAGTGGTTGAGAGTCTGCCTGCCGATGCAGGGGACGTGGGTTCGTGCCCCGGCCCGGGAAGATCCCACATGCCACGGAGTGGCTGGGCCCGTGAGCCATGGCCGCTGAGCGTGCGCGTCCAGAGCCTGTGCTCCGCAACGGGAGAGGCCA